CGCTTGCCGAGGCGGGTTCGTTCGTGGATAGCTTCCGTGAGCTCCTGCTCATCGACGTCCATCGCGTTCTCGTCCTGTTGTGCGACACTCTCGTCGACCTCGCTGTCATCCAGCGCGACAGGTTCTTCACCGCTGTGTTTCCTCCTTCGGCTAGAGCTTGGCTCCCCGGCGCGTTGTTTGCCCTTCCCGGCGGTGGTATCCTCGACGCGTTTCTTCTCCTGTCTGGAGCGTGTACCCGCAGCGCGTTGCTTTCCCTTACCAGCCACTTCCTCTCTACTTTGCGCAACGGCGAGACCTGGGGCGAAGGAAGTATGGGTGGCGTTGAAGGGTGGCCTTTCGGCAGCAACACTGCGGATCTTGCGTTCTACTCTGTCCGATCCTTCCGGGAACTCCATCTTCAAGATCTTATCCCACATCGCCGCTAGTTTGGCGAGAGTCCAGGATCTCGGATATTGCTCCTTCCATTGCCCCTTCAAGCAATTTAGGTTCATGGCTTTCTTTAACCACTCATGCAAGGGGGCAGGTTGGAATTGGAATCTGGCGGTATAAGTTCGCTTGGTTTTATTGATCATCTTCACTGACCCGCCCTTATCTTCTCCGCCGTCGACGAGGTGTTCGTCGAAGAACTCAGAAAAGAAGTTCTCCAGTCCACGATCCGATCGATTGTGGCCGAGCCATCGGGCAGCGCAGTAGAGGACGACATAGAGTAAAGACTCCATGTCGTCTTGGATAACGTGCAGATAGTTAGAGGTAGTCAGGACGTTCAATGACATGAACTGCCAGGTGCCCTGCAATCCCATTTTAACGAATGGTTCCGTGATTTGGAAGTATACACTTACCGTGATGTGCCATTGGCGGCCCGTTGAAACACGCTTGATGCCGCAGCAGAACTCCCAATCTATTAGATATCCGGTCCTTCTATCCTCGCCAGGCTTCCTAAACAGTACAATGTTTCTTACACTTAGATCGCGGTGGATCTTCTTGGCCTTTTTGTAGACATCCGTCATTGCTAGAGTGGGAGACCGTCAGTGAAGTCTTATACTCGAAGACGCACAATAACGTACCATCGAGAACGTCGCGGGTACTGCGAAGAAGCTCCTTCGAGCTCTGAAGATGGGGCAGGCTGTAACCAGCGATATCCAAAACGACTCTATAGTGGGCATGCCGTTTAACCGTGATCTCTCGAGGCTTTCCATCTAGCTCAGTGCCTATACACATCCACGGAGCTTCGACGAACTCGTGTGTACGCGTCTCTTGATATTCTGTATCTGATCAGGGACCGATGGTCACTCGATTGCATGCGAGAAACGAGCTCAATGCTCACCATGTTCACTACTTAGCTTCACATCACCATGGTGCATGACTTTGGGCACATTCCGTATTTCGTGCTGTTTCAAGTCTTTGAGAATGGTTCCTTCTGGCTCTATTTCTTCTTTTTTATCCCAATAACGCCAAGTGTCCTTCAGAAACCTGACGCTGCCATTCAAATCCATCGCCCAATATCCGCGCGTAGCTCGACTTGCAACCGACATGGGCGATATAACAGGGCGTGAAACGAGATAGCGGGCCGGTCGAACCTCTGTGTTGCCTTGCTCGCCAGCCTCCTCAAACACGTGAATGACTGCGACTTTGCCCGGCTCGTAGTGCTCGCGCAAACCCCGTTCCAGTCGTTCCTGATCTTCTGGGATTTGTCCCTCAACTGCCGCCTTTCGCTTCTTCCTCTTTGGTGGGCGCATAACGTCCTCAACCGAAGCAGAAAGCAGCAACTGCTCCTTGACGTGCTGAGCAATCGCCTTCTTGAACATTTCCTCCTCCGCTGCATCCGTGACCCGTTCCACCGTCATGTCGAAGCCTCGGGCATGGTCGCTAGCATGGCCGAACCACCACAAGAACCTGCACACCAACTCGGGATCCTGATGCAGATCGACAGATTCCGTAACAATCATCCCGCCACGATCCCAATAGAACAATCTAACATGGGAGCCCGACATGGACAACGAGAAGAGGCAGTGGCGATGCTGCCGGGCAAGAATCTCCGTAGCATATGCAATATTCTGCCCGAGAGCTCTCTTTGCAATATCCTTGTTTTTCAACGACGAATGATTAAGGATGAACTGGTGCGTTGAGCGTTCCACATTCTTCGGGGGATCCGTGAAAAAGTCGACCGCTACGCTGCGTTTCACTTCGATGAATATTTCCGCGTAGCCCATATGAGCAACAGCCGCACTGCTCTTGCTTTTCTTCTCGGGAACCTCTACACCATCTCGGTAGCCGCAAAGATCTGGCTTCTGCACACCGGGACCCGAAGTCTCCGCCCGTGACGATGTATCTTTGAACGTGATTCCTGGACATCTGCATTGGTCGCCCTGACCATTCACCGCGGTAATCTACAATAGTGTCACTTCAGCAGCAGTATGATATGCGGGTCTCAGCGACTTACAAGTGGAACGTAGAGTTCCTGTTCCTTCTCGGCTTGCTCAGGAACATCCGCAAAGGCTCCCGCAGAGGGGGGCATGCCTTCAAATGACATCTCGTTGAAGCCAGGACATAGACTATTGCAGAAATCCACAACAGGCATTGGGCCGAGTGTCCAGTCCTGAGCCTCGTCAGCTAGACGCAAATAACGTTTCTCCGCCTCTACACCATCAAACCCATACTCCTGACTCGAGTTCTCGTTTTTTGCAATGGGGGTGTGCAGAAATGGACCACTGTTGGGAGGCCTGTTCCGATTCTCGGGAGTGCGAGGCGAGGAGGTGGCCTGCTGTCCGTCCGTAGGAGTGCGAGTCCCGGAAGGGCCAGCTTCCGCTTCCGGACTGGGCTTCCGAGCGGGAGCACGGGAAGAAGATGCTTTGCCTGTTGAAGGTCGACCTGTCTGAGTAGACTGCATCGTAGCACCCCTCCGGGCCCTAGTGGCGCGGTTCATGACAGGCTTGTGGAAGTGTGAACGCGATGAAAAATGTCAAAACGTCGAGCACAGGCTTATATGCTAGGAAAAATGTGTGCTGATATCGCGCAGAGGAGATTGCTCTTCACTTGGTAGTCGTAGAAGATGGGGAGGAGGGTTCAACTTGGTTGGAAGCTGCGCGACGCGAGAATGGCAAGGCACGTGCCCGCGTGTAATCCAACACGTGATATGTGCCATTGTTTGTCCCTCCAATTTGTTAAGGTGGGAAATGGTGTGCAAATGTCGAGCAATTTCTTACACATGTGACAAATATTTGCAACTACATATGGCATTTCATGCTGGAAATGTTTTACTTTGGCTGTAAATATGAACTATCTGCCATTTAAATGCTACATACATTGGCAAACATTTGCCACAAATGTAAGACATTAGCCAATATTCCCACGCTATTTTCCACATTGATAAATCGCGTAATGTTCGGGCGCTACGCTGGCACGAGTGGAAGGTAAGCAGATGTCGAACAGATGCAAGGTAAGTAGATGCGGAACAGACTATGGCCAGCTACTACGAAAAGTTTGAACAAGGGCATGATGCCGAAGACATGCATGATCAGAGGTGGGCACAAAGCCTACAACATATGTTAGATATGGTTGAGTAGGATTCGTAATGCTTTGCTCACCGCGACTTGCTCCGTCGCCGTGTGCTCTCCGTAATCTATTTGACTTCCAGAGTTTGGTAGGACTCAATGCACGAGACTTCCTTCAGCGACAGTTTTCACCCCCACCACGCGCTACTTGACGCATCGAGTTGCGCTCCGCGAACCACATCTGCCATGGATACACGGCAGATGCGTTCAGCGAAAGCACCATGGGCAGCGTCGGTCAACAAAAGGGCACCGGACGCAGTGGTCTTACTCACCTTACCACCATGGACGTGTGCAAAGCAGACATCAGCCTCGTTTTGCAAGCTCGCTAACTCCACACTTAGGCAGAAGCGCGCAATGAGGGCCTCCAAGGCACTATATATCCATTCTGCATCCTTCTCTCGTAATGCACGCGCATGTATCCTGTGACAGGGTCCGATCGCGTCGGGGAGATGGACAAGGTAAGAACGCTGAATAATCTACAACGAAATCTGAACACGCACACCAGATCGGATCGGCTGCCGCCTGTACGACCTCGTATGCCGCCTTTTCAGAAGACTAAGTGC